GTTTGTGCGTGCGTGCGTGTGTGTGTGTGTGTGTGTGTTTGTGTGCGTGCGTGCGTATGTGAGAGGGGGGGTGGGGTGGTGGTGGGAGGAGCTATACCCCAAACCCTATAAGAACAAAATTGTTTCATTTGTTTTTGTTTCACCTTTCGTTTGATGATAGGTAATGTAGAATGATCAACACTAAACAATAGTGAAACCTTCGGCAGAACGTGCAAACGTTCCTTTTGACAAAACAGACTCGACCCAAACTGTGTACAGCTAACGCCAACTTTTGTCACCTTCAAAGGATGCAATAGACAACGAGATAGACAGAGAGCCAAACAGATAGACAAGCAGATACCAGTACACATACAAACAGACATACCATGAGAAAGAAAGACAACCATACAGACAGACAAGCAAATGGACACACAAGCAGAGATACAAACAGGCAGACAGACGGGAAGCATTGGTCGTCAACTCAAGTAGTAAAAAGACAAAAAAATGTGACAGACAGCGAAACAAAACAAACAGGCAGACAAATAAACAAACAGACAAACAAATAGACAGACGGACAGACAAACAGACAATGAGACAAACACATAGACAAATAAACAGACAGACAGACACACAAACAAACAGAGAGACACACAAACAAACAGACAGACAGACAGTCAAACAGAGAGACAGACAAACAGACAAACAAACAGACAGACTGACTTACTTTTGTCGCTGTCCGCCGTGAAGCACTGGTCGTCAACACAAGTCGTACACAGACAAAAAAATGTGACAGACTGCGAAACAAAACAAACAATCATGAACACAGATAAACAAACAGATAGACAAACAGACAGACAGACTGACTTACCTTTGTCCTTGTCCGTCGGGAAGCACTGTTCGTCAACACAAGTCGCGAACAAACCCACAGAAAACAGGCCGTCCCGAGCCCAGAAATGGGAGGTGCAGGCCAGGATCCACATGAGCACACATGACAGCAGCAGGGATAACGCGGCCGTCACTGCTGTATGGGCCGGGGGTACCGACGACGTGCATGTCTGTGGATGAACAAACTATGCATCAGCATTAATTTTCCACCACTGTGTTTCATTTTTGTGACTGTCTCGTAAACTAGTAAGCAATCATGAGGGGTTTTTTTTTTAAAGTAACTTTTACTGCACTTACAAAACAAAAAGGTCATATAGGTGCCGAAGATTACTGGTGTATCAAGAGATTAATATACACAAAAAGGAAGGAGGAGAGATGGACAAGGACAAGAGATGTTTGATAAGAAAGTAGAAGCAAATCACATCAGAGTACCCGCCAACCACCAACTATCATGAGTTTGAAGTAAACTGTCACATGGGGTAAGGTGGGATCAGGCATCAATTTGTGGGCATAATAATAATATTTGTAGTTATTGATATCATCAAAAATTAAAGCATGTTCGTTTGCCTTACTTTGGGTGACATAAAATGTGAAGTAAACAAGTAAAATGGGAAGCATCGTGGGGAAATCAGGTGCTCGTGGAAATAAGGAAATCAGATAAAACGGCATTTTGGAGCCCATTTGTCTTACTTTGGGTGAAAAAAAAATGTGAAGCGTTGTGGGGGAAATCTGGTGCTCATGAAACTAGTGAAACCAGATATAACGGCATTTTTGCGGCATTTGTCAATTTTTATCGATTTTTTTTTAGCTTCACTCTTTTTGCTAACATTTAAGAACACGCATTTGAGTGGATTTTACTGGAAAAAACATTGATTACAGTCACAGAAAACATACATCAAATGCAATATCTAAGGACTTTCAAGCAATGGAAATCACCACGGTTTGGTGAAACCAGATGATCCCCACCTCCTTGAATCGCAACTATCTCGACTTGTGGTCAAGAGTGATGAGTACTTCTTTCATCTAGAAAAAATAAACAAGTTTTAAGTAGATACCAATGACTCCACCATTTCGAGAAAAACATCGTTCTATTTTGAAAAGAAGTCGAGATATCAGACACTCTGTCGAGTCGCCTGATGTGAGAGGTAAAAGCAGTGAGAAAATAGCTGTCTAAGTTTTGTGACTTCAAAGCTTGGGGCTTCTCGGAAAGGGTAAACAGATAGGAACAAGGGAAAGGTAAAATGGGTAAGAAATGACACTTGCAATCGGGTACCTCTGTACTTGAAATTAAAAACCTGCGCGAATACCGCGAGCTAATCTGGCAGAAAAGTGGTATGTCTGAGTGTGGGTTTCTTCGCAAACACATATATGTGTAGGGGTCAGGAAAAGAAAGAGTTAAAGTCACTCCAGAAAAAAGGGGGAAAAAAACAAAAACAAAAACAAAAACAAAAACAAAATCAGCTGGACATAATAATATGCACGATAATATACTGCCGTATTTGGATAATTAGTGTAAAGGTCGTAAAGTGGGTGTTTCGAGGGTGCCAGGTCCTTCTTTTCTGTCAAATCTATGGTCCTTATCTCTGTCCCTTCTTTTCTTGGTATCTTACTCGTTAGTACTACCTCTAATCTTCGGCATTTATATGATTTAATTGATTTTCACGTTCCGTAAAACCTTTACTAAAAGATTTTTTAAATATACTAGCGAGCAAAAAAAACACGAAAGACTATTTTGGTCATAAATAATTAACCATCAATAGTAAAAGACAAAAGTTTACACCATCGATAGTATGTCACATCCTCTTTGGCAATCAAAAGTTTCCTGTCTTGTTTGTCACCGGCAACTAGAGTTATTGCCCTTATTGAAGCATGGAAAAAATCACGTGGTGCCTTCAAAACAAGGTGTAAATGAGTGGAAAAAAGGGTGAAAAGTATTCTCCTCAGCTCGGCTATACAGGCCAATGTAAAAAATCTATTCGGTCGTTTCGCCCCGCATTTGCAACGACAATGCCACTTTTAAGGGATATTCGGGAAGAGAGAGCAATAGGCCGTTTAGAGGGTGGAGAAAGGCAAATTGTGGTCGCCAATCATTTTGGGGTTCACATCTCGACCATCCACAGACTCATAACCCGTTTTCAGCTCATGAATTCTACTTTGGTCCGAAAAAGGTCAGGTCGACCCAGATGCTCTAAGCACGTGCATACATACACATTGTCCGGATGCATTGTTCAAATCGGCTTCAGACAGCTACAAGAACATCAGACTTTATATGGGTACTCACGGAAGAGTCATAATTCGACACACAGTAAACCGACGATGGCGTCACGTAGGCCTTAAACGCCGTCAACCTTACCATGGTCCAGTCTTGACCGCACGCCATCGCCAAAAGCGTTTCAACTGGGCTCAACACCATGTCAACAGCCGTCTGGTTCTCATTTTCGGGCGAATGCCTGTTCTTCATAGATACAATAGACAGGGACCTCCCTGTTCTTAGTACATACAATAGACAGGGACATCCCTGTTCTCCATTGACACAATAGACAGGGACCTCCCTGTTCTCCGTAGACACAGTAGACAGGGACCTCCCTGTTCTCCATAGATACAAGAGACCTCCCTGTTCTCCACAGATACAATAGACAGGGACCTCCCTGGTCTCCATAGATACAAGAGACCTCCCTGTTCTCCATAGATACAATAGACAGGGACCTCCTTGTTCTTCATAGATACAATAGACAGGGACCTCCTTGTTCTCCATAGACACAATAGACAGGGACCTCCTTGTTCTCCATAGATACAATAGACAGGGACCTAGCTGTTCTCTATAGACACAATAGACAGGGACCTCCCTGTTCTCTATAGATACAATAGACAGGGACCTCAGAGTTTCTCAAGAGGAAGGCGAAGCTTGATGTGACAACTGTATCATAGAAATGACTCGCTGGGAGGGCACTGCGTCATGATCTGGGGAAGTGGCGTCGCGTGGGTTGCAGACAAGATGGTACATATTTGGAAAGTGAGCAAAAGGGCAATAGGCTTCGTAGCTACTATTAAGATTTCTAGAGTAAGTTAATTACTATCTGCAGTATATCTCGTAATCTACATTTATCGATATTTACAACTGTTTCTAGATGAAACCGCATAAAAGTTCACTACGCTCAAAATCTGATAAGATTTAAAGATTTCTAATTACTTCGTGCAACACCAGGACTTGCTACGCAATAGAGGGAGACAACAGTTTCGATACCCATCCTTCTTTGAGTTACAGGGGATTCTACTAGCGTAGTAGATAGGCTAGCGAAAACTTGGATCAAATGTTTAGCTTACACCAAATGGATGCTGCGAAGAGCAGTTTCATGCACCTTTTTTCTTGTGCCGGAAAAACGATGCCTAGATTTCTCTACAGTAACAAAATTACTTTGCTGCAAAGATTTTGCTCGCTCCCAGCAGACATTACCGCAAGCGGTGCGACGAGCATAAACCATCCTCACCGTCTGTCTCTTCACTTCACTGGCGCAGCCAGCGGGTGACGGATCGCAAGGATGTAGTAATGTAGATCTAGAGCACTGACTGGTTTACAGCAATTTTTAAAAAAAGGAGGGGGTGAAGGCCAGGGTTAGGTGGAGCGCTTGCACCAATTGCATCTGGGGTGGAATCATGTGGAACCACAAAATAGAACCGATGATCTTCCAAAGTCAAGGCCAAAGTCGAGATCAAGGCATCAATGCTGCCGTTACATGGAAGAAGTTCTTAGGCCACTCTACACAGTTTTAACTTCCCGGTCCAGCCAGATAATGCTTGTGCGCACACTTCTCGTGTTACACAGGATTTCCTACAACACCATGACATCACTCTGCAGCCTCACCCTGCCCTTAGCACGGATTTAAACACAATTAAGCATTTTTCGGACGAAATTGAACGATGCACCGAGGGGGAGACAACCAAGGCCGAGAACGATGCAGGAAGTGGAGGTGGCCATTCAGGAGATAATCAAACAAGCAGATCTCGCTACGTTTTACCAACTACCAGTGGCTTTCTTGTACCGATTGTAGTTGTCCGATCTATTGGTAGCCGAAACCACAACTGTGCATTTTGATGCATTAACCGAAAGTTGAAAATGTATTCCGCAAAAATTCAATATTCACAGTGATGACCATAGTAATCTTTCATAATGCCCAAAAAACAGTTTGAGTTTAAATTCCCCCGTTTCGTTAGAAATGGAAAACGGACATGATCACCATTGCAGAGGTAAATAGGATAGATCTATTGTGTTTCTTTAGCTCGCTAGAATACTTCACTGATTCAAGGCCATACGGTCATTTCATTTGTACGTTATGTGGTATATATGGTCTATCCTAAGGTAAGTCGCCATACTATGAGCTCTATTATTTATTTATTATTTCTTTTTGGAAATATGTGATTTAGACCTTTCATTTTTCTAACCCCTTCAACAGTATTTATACAGTGCACATCTACGTCCTGCAGCATGCTTTATACACTGTACAATTATTATTACCCCCAGGAGAAGACACAAGAACTCTCAGAAGCATTCTTGGCATTCCGGGAAGCATTCAGTGCAAGCTGGGGATTACATGAGCTAAAACAATAACACACTGACACGATCTTTCGCTGTCTCTAGCGGGTACCCATTGCAAACTGAGTGAAGTGAGGGAAACTCGTGGAAAGAGCTTTCCCCAAGGATACAAAGTTGGACTCTTGACGGGATTCAAATCCATGACCTTACGGTTGAGAGTCCGAGAGCCTTCAAGCTGATCACCGAAACAACGTCCAACTACTGCAAAAGTTAAACAGAACAAATAGAAAGACTTTGACACAATGACATTCGTTCAGTGGTGAGGACAAACACAAGAGAAACGAACAGAAACAACCGAAGGAAAAAAGATCAATGTAGAAACTAGCAGTGTCACCCACTATCTGCCTGTATTCCTCCAAACCAAACATAGCCCACTTTTCCTTTACTTTCCACAGGAATAGTGTACGTGTGTCAGCGTGTTACATTAGTTTGAAATAGTGTTGCACATGTGTAAGTGTGTTGCACAAGTTTAGAATGTTACTATACGAGTGTAAATGCGTTACACACGTTAACAATAGCATTGCTCATGTATAAGTGTGTAACACACAATTTATGGCATGTTGGAATATTGTACATACGTAAGTGTGTTACACAAGTTCGAAATAGTATTGTACAGGTGTAAGTGTGTAACATAATTAACGGCATGTTTTAATATTGTTAGTGTGTAAGTGTGTTACGCCGCACTATAGCATGTTGAAATGTTGTATGTGTGTAAATGCGTTACACACATTCGGAATAAGTTGTACTTGTGTAGCCTAAGTGTGTTACGCAAGTCAGGGATATTTTGTACGTGTGTAAGTGTGTTACAAACACGTTATGGCATGTTGAAATAATATTGTACGTGTGCAAGTGTGTTACAGAAGTTACGACATGTTGTAACATTGTACAAGTGCAACGGTGTTACAAATGTTCCAGCGTATTGAATTATGCATAGCAACAACAGTAAAAGCAGCAGCAGCAGCA